AAAATTGTCTCAAGTAAAATGCGGACCATCCTATTTAACCTCATGCAGAGCGGCTTTCTCAATACAAGATCTAAATTATGAAACTCTACTTGTCCTCATTAAGCATACAATTTAATTAAGAAAGTGCTAGATTGCATTGAACGGAGGCTGAGTGAAAGCTCTTAATGTTTTCATAGTCCTTATGGATGGTGTATTCATTGCAATACACTTGATGAAAATACCTAGACAAATGTGGAGTTGGGCCGTTCCTATAAGATCATGAAAAAATCTCTAAAGCACTTGTTAAAACCAGGCAAGCACATGGCCGGTAACATGTAAAACCATCATTAACAGCAGAGACTATAGATAATCTGATTAATAAAACATCTAATATACGCTCAAAATCTATTGGTTCAATAATAAAGTTACATTGACTTTTTGTGCGCTAAGTTTTATTAGTCTAGGTTTGATTCAAGTCGACAGATGCCAATTTTAAGTGATTATCCTTCGTGTGAATAACTCAGATGAAAATAGATCATTTTGACACATGTGAGGGATTGTTGTGTATGTGTTAGAAGTGTGTGTGTGTGTGTGTGTTAAAAGTCTTATATTGTCTAAATGAAGAACTCTCCTAGTGTATAAATACTAAGGAATGAAGTGGGTTAGTAAAATGGACTTGGAGGAGAAGTGGGCTTGCATGCACGAAACAGGCCAACTCAGGCAATCGTAATTGAAATCAGCCGATTCGCCCCCCTGTATGTGAGTTCAAGAGGCATTAGGTTCCTTTTACTAGATTATTTTTACAAAAATAAATAATTATTTAATTTACATGGGCTTGCCGGAAAACCTCCTTTTTTAGCTATCTGGAGTTTGAATTCAAACCATTAAGCGTTTTTGGCCTTTAATCAAATTCTTTAAATGGATAATTAAAATTCTTAAATGTTTTTTGTCCCCTAACATTTCCAAACAGACGCTTAAATGTGTTTTACAATCGTGTAACTGATGCTTAATGAGTTTAATATGGAATTATGAGCCCAACATCTACCTTCAGCCCATATATAGCCATGGGTATAGATAGGATTAGTGCTAGCCTCTTGAGCTTTCAGGGTATTCTTCTCCTCCTTTTTTGCATTTGTGTTTGTTTGAGTCTTTTGTTAGTGCCGCTATTATGTGCCCTTGCATTGTGCAGGAAGTGCTTGTTTAATCCTAGGGAACTGTCGGCTCATCATCTTGCTGTGCTGGAATAGTTCTTAAGGATAGTGTCCTTCCAAGCACGACTCAAGCAGCTCACCATTTGCGTCCATACAGCCAACACAAACTATTTTCTTAGACATTCTTTGAATCCAAACAGCCTTAATATGCTAATTCATTACTTCTCAAAATTATCAAAACGACCTTAACATTCTTTTAAGTGTCACAATTATCAAAATTATCCCATCAAAGCCATGACTAATTTACACATTATCACCATTCAAAAATAATTTCAGTATTTATTTTCAAATAAATCCTTCTAAAGTAGAAATCCCAAGTTCAAAACAATAAACCAAATCAATTTCAAACTCAGTGAAGTTTTAAACATAGAATGCTTATTATCTAAAGTTTCCAATTGAAAAAAATTCTTTGATCAAACCATCATCCAATTAGCCAAGCCAAAAACCTCAAGAAAATTTAGAATATTACATCAAAAATTGAAAATTCAACATAACCTTCAATCCAGTCTCAATTTCATATTCCAACAAGTATAACCAAGTTATCTTAATCCAATAATCACCTTCTTTAATAATTAATTCACTAGAAATTCAAATTTCATCCTCTAACAACCTAGGTTTTCTCCAAACAACTTGTTTGTGTTTAGGAAATGAATCAACCAAACCAATTGAAATACCATACATGTTAGAGACACTGAGTCTCACATAAAATTAGGTTCCTGGACTCTCTTACCTCAATTCATCCGGAAACAGAGATGCAAGTTGAGATAGAATGAAACAAGTTTGATTGAATTAGTGTGCGTGCGCATGAATTACAATGGGTAAATTGAATTGATAAGATATACTGGAAAATAAACTAAGGTTAAGGCTAATGGTTGATAAAACTCCTAAGAGTGTTGAGGTGTTTTTGTATGATTTATGTGATGTCCTTTTACTATTGCTGACCCTTGTATTTATAATGTGCATAGACTCTTGTTAACTATTTATAACTGCTGGCCCATGTCCCTGAAATATTTGCTGATAAGTGTCACGATCTTGCAAGATTCAAGGCTCATTGAGATCATGGTTTTGTGTAAGGCAACGATTTATATAGCAGTTTGAGTTTTACGAGATTCAAGGATCCAATCTGACTTAGTAAAGTCATTTCACCATGATGTGCCCCGGCCTTATTATTATTGGATCTTTTGCTAGGCTTGACGCTTTACTTAACCCAGTTATTGCTATCTATAGTTATTGTGTTCTTTTGAATAGGCATCGTTTCAATTTTAGTCCAAACATAATTGTAATATTCAAAATCTACCATCCATAATCCCAAAAAGGTTAGAGAAAGCTTAGATTTAGCTCTTGGAGCCAAAAATTTTCTTAATCAACACAATATTTGAACCATTGGCTACCAACAATCAAAGCCGCAATAAATCTCAAGTTCCTACTAATAAAACAGAAGAGGGGGAGCAAGAACCTAAGCCACATACATCAAATCAACATTTGGAGGTTCAAATCTCTTAGATTTTCAACAAAGCCCCATAAAATCTTTTCCTATTAGCTGCTCTCTATTTCCCCAAGCCAAAAACCTCATTTTTTAATCTAATTTTCAAGTTTTAAAACGCTAATCTATCTTTTGTTCACCCATTGTCGAAGCCTTCACAATTTCATCATCCCATTGTTGAACTTTGCATTTTGACTAGTCATCGTAAAGTTAGCATTTGCAAGTGGTAAAACCCAAAACAAACTTCATTTGTGATTGAAAGTGGAGAGGGGCTCCAATTTCCACCAAAATTACCCTATAATCATAAGAAATAAGAAAGATAACCCTTAGCTTATTAATTAATTGCATTATAAACAATCAAAGTGTTATCAACATCTACTATTGTTAAAACACCTGATTTCATAGAAAAAGGGCAACTTAAGCCCTTAATCAATACTTAATCCTAGATGTAAAACATTTGGGGGTGTTTCACTATAAGTATGCTAAATATACATACATATATATATATATATATATATATAAAGAACATATCATTTAACACATGTAAAAAATAAAAATTAATAATGAAATAATTAGAATTAAAAGAATCAAATTAAATTGAAAAACTAACTATAAAAATAAAGTCAATCCTTATATTTGACCCTAAAAGATAATGCCAATCCCTCACCCTAAATAAATAAATAAAGCGAAGCCAAATCACAACCGAAAGAGTGTTCATTTTGATTACTATTCAATCAAAATACCGAGGCTGTCCTCTACGAGTTTGCATTATGCAGGGAGACGGCCACGCAAATTGACGTTGTGCTCCCTCTTGGCAAGTTCACAATCTCATTTCTTGCCCTTACAAAAATATTAAAACATCATTTAACTAATTTACTTTAATAAGTTATTAGTGATTATCAAATAACTGTTATTGTTGGCAACAACACACTGATAAGTAATTAAATTAAACTATCATGCCATTTTAATTTATAGTTCAGTTATAAGCGTCAATAATTAATAACCAATTCAACTGTTCCTGTAATTGTTGCCAAAATTTCAATCTATATTTTTTTATGAGGAAAAAATAGCAAAAAATTTCATTAAATAAGCTTAAAGAATCTTAAATTAGATCCAATTATAATAAAAACTTTATACATAACTTCTGTTCATCTAAGGATTTAAATATTAAAATTAATAAAATATTTTATTATACTCAAAATTTGTTATTTTATGTAGATTAAACTTTAAATAGAAACTTCTTGTATTTTAAAATTTTTATACCTATATATATATGAGATATAAATAATAATTTATTTTATTTGAGAACCAATTGCCCTGTAAAAATGAAAATATATTCGACAATTTATATTTTTAATGTGTTATCTCATGTATATTAAAAAAATATAAATATTTCTCAAATTTCTCAATTTTTACAAATTAAAATATAAGTAGTTTATTTATAAAAGTATATACTCCCTCCATTAAAAAATTTAAGGCATTTTTAATTGAATTTTATCCCAATAAAATAGTTTCCTATTTTCTAACTAATCCTATCTTTTCATATTTATTCTTATTAAATACCCTATAATAAATATAAAATTATTATTAACAGGGGCACTTAAAAAAATAATAATTATATTTTAAAAGATTAAAATATTTTATATTTTTAAATATTCAACCCCTCAAAATTAATATTTTTAAACTGAGAGAGTAATTAATTTATTTTCTCTCCAAAATTTTGTTGATCCATGCGCTACCTTAAATGAAGCATGTACCGTAATCAATCACGTACTATAATTCAGATGATAATAATTTTTATAAATTATTATAGCCAAAACTAAAAATAGATAAAAATATTTGTATGCCAAGTAATGAATTTAAATTAAACAAATAGCATAATAAATTCTTTAAATTTGCTTCTTTATACATCTTAAAAATATAAAAAATATTTTATTATTTCAGATGGCAGAACGTGTCATATTCAGATGGCAGAATGTGTCATACTCACATAAATTAAAAATTAAATTCCAAACAAAAATTATAAATTTATTATCATACACCCATGAAATAAGTTATTATTTAAATTTTAATTTACACAAAATAACAAATTTTAGGTATACTAAAATAAATTATTTTTAAAATTTATATTTTATTTTTAGTTTTTTCAAACATCAAAACAATAAATATAGTTTATTGAGCATGATGAAGGAATAATTAAAATTTTTAATATTGATAATTTAAAATTTATCCTTAAAGATATTGTTTGCAAGATTTTTTTTTTTAATTTTATCCAGAAACTTCTCAAGATTTAAATCCATGAAAGAGGCCGCCTGGTTCTTTGCTTCTTTTACTTCCTCGCACAGTAATTCGTCTTTTCTCATGTAACAAGCCTTCTTTTCTTCTCTCTTCCATTCGAACGCTGAATACAAACCCTAACCCTAGCTGTGCGATTCTATACATGGACGCTCTTGAATCGAACCCTAATCCTCCGCCGTTCCTTCCGTCCGAAACAGTCGCTTCGTACGATCATAACCCCACCCCACCGGCGGCGGAAAGCTTTGCATCGGATTTCCAGAAGCCGTATGAGCAAACTGCGAATTTCGGTTTTCAGAATTCTTCGAACACCCTAGCTTCGGATGGTCAAAACGTTAACGGTCAACCCCAATCTGCTACTGGGAATGGCAACGAGAACGGATTGGATAACAGTCAGGGCGGTGTCGGCAGCAATAGCAATTCGAAGCCTTTGAGTGTGAAGCCGTTAATTTCTGAAAACGCCGGGACCAACAATACCCAAAGTGGCACTGACAGGGATCACTCTGGTGGGGAAGAGGAAACTACAAGCAAACGTCGCCGCCGGAGTCGATGGGATCCGCAACCTGATTCCAATGACCAGAGTGGCGGTGAAACAGGTGGCGGAACGAAGAAGAGGAAGTCACGTTGGGCTGATGATGAGCCGAAGCCTGTGATTCAGCTTCCTGATTTCATGGGCGGTATTGAGTTTGATCCTGAAATTCAAGCTTTGAACAGTAGGCTTCTTGAGATTAGTCGAATGCTGCAATCTGGTCTACCTCTAGACGATCGCCCTGAAGGTGCTAGATCTCCTTCACCTGAACCTATATACGATAACATGGGAATTAGAATAAACACCAGGGAATATCGTGCCCGTGAAAGATTGCAAAAGGAGAGGCAAGAAATCATTTCTCAGATTATCAAGAAAAACCCCGCATTCAAGCCGCCTGCCGATTATAGGCCGCCGAAGCTTCAGAAGAAGCTATATATACCAATGAAAGAATATCCCGGTTACAACTTTATAGGGCTTATTATTGGTCCTCGAGGCAACACACAGAAGCGGATGGAAAGAGAAACTGGTGCTAAAATTGTGATCCGGGGTAAAGGGTCAGTAAAAGAGGGTAGACTGCAACAGAAGAGGGATTTGAAACCTGACCCGTCAGAGAATGAAGATTTGCATGTCCTTGTGGAGGCAGAAACACAAGAATCACTTGATGCTGCCGCAGGTATGGTGGAGAAGCTTTTGCAGCCTGTGGATGAGGTGTTGAATGAGCATAAGAGGCAACAGCTTAGGGAACTTGCAGCATTGAATGGTACAATTAGGGATGAAGAATATTGCCGGCTGTGTGGGGAGCCTGGCCATCGCCAATATGCATGTCCTACACGTACTTCTACATTTAAGAGTGAAGTGGTCTGTAAGCACTGTGGTGATGGTGGTCACCCAAGCATAGACTGTCCAGTGAAGGGAGCCACTGGCAAGAAGATGGATGACGAGTATCAGAACTTTTTGGCAGAGCTGGGAGGGACAGTTCCAGACTCAGCAATAAAGCAGAACAACACGTTGGCAATTGGTTCAGGCAATTCTGGAAGCAATCCTCCTTGGGCTAACAATTCCGGATCTACTGGTGGAACATCACAAGCAGGCTTAGGGGCTAATCCAGTTAAAAAGGAAATCGATGATACAAATTTGTATATTGGGTATTTGCCTCCCACTCTCGATGATGATGGTCTGATCCAATTGTTTCAACAATTTGGTGAGATTGTTATGGCAAAAGTCATAAAAGACCGGATGACTGGGTTGAGTAAAGGATATGGGTTTGTCAAGTATGCTGATGTCCAAATGGCGAATAATGCAATTATGGCGATGAATGGCTATCGCCTGGAGGGCAGAACCATTGCAGTGAGAGTTGCTGGTAAGCCTCCTCAGCCTACTGTACCTCCTGGCCCGCCAGCATCAGCCATGCCCACATATCCCATTTCAAGCCAGCCAGTTGGTGCCTATCCATCCCAACAATATGCTACTGGTGGTCCTCTCGGTACTGCACCCCCTGGAAGTTATGCCGGTGCCCCAGTTCCATGGGGGCCTCCCGTTCCTCCGCCATATACTCCTTATGCTCCTCCCCCACCTGGATCAACTATGTACCCTCCTATTCAAGGTCAATCTATGCCTCCATATGGTGTTCAGTATCCTCCAGTCCAGACGGCTCCTCCAGGTGCCCCATCCCAGCCTACAACTTCTAGCGAATCACAACAAAGTTTTCCTCCAGGAGTGCAGTCTGACAGTGGTACCTCTACTCAATCAACATCGGCAAATATTTTTGGGAGTTCACTACCTGCTATGCTATCGACTGCTCAACCTACATATGCTACATCTTATGGTTATCCGCCTTACTATGGTGCGGTTCCCCCTCCGCCTCCCCCACCTATCACAACTTCAGGCCATATGCCTTGGGCTGCCAATCCTACAGTGCCGCCTCCTGCGTCAACTGCAGAGAAGACGGGATATGGTGCAGATCAGTCTCAGAGCATAGGAAATGTGCCTTGGGCCACAAATCCTCCAATGCCACCCCCTACTTCAACTGCAGAGAAGACAACATATGGTGCAGATTCAGAGTATGAGAAGTTCATGGCAGAGATGAAATGATCTGTTTGGTGTGAAGTCATGCCTTCAAGTTCTGGAAGGTTTGTGTACTATCTATATTTTATATGATTCATCATTGGTGGCCTTGTCTATGTTATATGCTGATAGGATTTAACATTCTGTGAACTTTTTTACTTCCCTTTCCACATTTAACCTAGTTAGTTTCATGAAATTACTCATCATTATGCAAATTCATTGTCAAAAGTTTCGCCCCCCCCACAAAACCATGATTTGTCTCTGATTTTCTTGTTATTAGGTACTTCAGCTTTACAGGGATTTAATCTAACATTGTGACGTTGAATGCATTTTTTCATATGTAGTTTATCTTTTTTAATTATTATTGGATAAGGCATTTTGGGGGAGCAAACTTTTTTTGGTAATTGGTACATGTTCCTCCTTAGAGTTATCATCCTTCCTGGATGGGAGAATACTGGCTTCTAACGTCTCTCTTGTTCCCTTCTAATCCTTAAGAAAGATAATCTGTGTATAAAAATTTTTGCCTAATGTTCTCTTTTTATTCACTTTCTGTTTGATATCCACTTGTTTTTCGGTGTACCTGAAGGGCCCTTATGGAAAAAAGGTGAAAAATATTATGCCTTTGTAAGTATGTGATTCTTCTATGCACAATATTTCCTGGATTAATGTTATTCTCAGCTCACGTATTAATGTTATTGAGTGGTGCCATTCCTATTTTAATGCTGAACAAAAATCATGTGGAGCAGAAACTAGTTAAAGTTGTATGGTTCAGGTATAAAATTCTTGTTCTTTTGAGTATTTTCAAGAAAAATCGAAATATTTAATGTTCTGAAGTAATGGATACATGGTTCTAATGTGGTGTTTTGCAGATTATGTTGCAATCATATCTAGTTTAAGAGTTCTTTCATTTTTGTTGTTTCTCTATATCGCAAACGTCTATTTGAATGCATTTGTTTTTATTAGATGTTAATATGTTCTTATGTTACTGTTATGTAACGCATTGATCATGTTGCAGTTCTTAACTCTTCATTGTTATCATCTAACATTGTGACAGGCTTGATGTTTCTGGGAGCTCTTCTGAACCTGATTTCTTAACCTCTTGCCATGACTTTCTTGGAAGTTTGGGACTCACTTCTTTAACCTTGTTGTGCTCTTATGACATTTGCAGAGATTTCACCTAAAAGTTCAGGAGTCTTCATGCAGGAGAGACTATCAAAGGGGCTTTCTGTTGTTATGATTATTGTTGTCTTTGCTTACCTTGTTGGACTTACGCATTCTTATTTTTCTTTATATTGCTTAGTGATTCATACAGGAATGTCTGGTTGCTAAAGTTTTCTTCTGATAGTAACCTTTTTGGTAGCTGGTTTCTTCTGTTAAACGTAGATACATTTCTCATTTAAATCATTTTCGTTTATTAAAAATGTATTCTAACTTATTTGTAATTTATATCGCAAGTGTCTTTGTTTTGACGGTTTTAGTTCTTTTAATTGCCTGGTGCTGAGGCTGCCTTGTAGGTGTAATATGATCCCAAAGATGACCCTGCTTTTTCATTTGAACATTTGGGATTTGTGGATAGATGCCTGTCTAAAGATAACTTGATCCATTTGCCAAATTCGTTGTTACTAAAAGTTCCAGCATGTTCTGTAAAGAAAATTCCATTCTATAGATGTTAAATGTCAGACTGTGGCACACATGCTTGTTTTACTTCACTTAAATTGACTTGACATGATGTTATGATCACCAAATTCTGGATGATACAGGCAAATATCAGGTGATGGCATTTGTTTCTGAAGTGATTCCTTGTTATTGGCATAAGTTGAAGGGTGAGGCCAATATTATTATTGATAGCTTTCTTTGACTTGTCTTCACACCCTAGGTTACCCTGTAATGCTGGGCAAAGATTGGAAGTGAATGATTAAAGAATTCGAGTCTTGGAGTCTTTTCTAATATCCTGAAGGATGTCTGCTCATATGGATTCAAACTTTTGGGTTTCACTGTGGTTCGTGATATCTTAGTTTTTCTCACTGGTCTGTATATGCTGGAGCCATGCTAGCACACTAGTGTGTTTGGCAGAGAAGAAGTGCTAACTCTATAGAATTTATTTCTTTATTTAAACTGCTGAGCCTTCTAAAATTAGTGCCATGCTTAGCCTATGATACTTGTCTTGAATAATAAATGGGTATATTGTGTCCTTACCTTTACTATACTCTGGAACTTAATTTCTCATTAGAATCTTTAGGACCATCAGATTCTTGAGATGGATAATTTTGAGTTTGGAAGTGGTTGCTCTCTCTTATGATTTCACCTTGGGGGATTTAGACTATAGCATGTTGAGAACTGTCACAAAAGGTTTTGCTATAGCCGGGAAACAGTTGCGTATAGACATAGAAGTCTCTGTCGTGTTGCTTCATCTTGTGATCTGCTAACATAGTTATCTATCACAGTATATGATTTTCCATGGATATGTAGGTAACATTTAGCTATTCCTTTTCAGTGGCTGTCTCTGTGTTAATTTTCCATGGAATGCCATGTACTTTTATGCTTAGGTCCATATATGTTTAAACTAGGAAGCACTGACTGATGATGTAATGTGTTTGATCATTAACTAGTGTATATTTGTGGGATAAATGGGTTATGTCTGGTCTTGAGCATTCTTATGTGCATCGTGATAAAAAGAATAAATAAAGAATAATATTTTTAGTTAGTTAGATAATTTGTAATTAGGATTTGCTGTTAAGGGTCTATATACGATCCAGTATAAGTCAGATATTGTGCATAATTGAAAATCCCAGGAATATTGTTCAGTTGTCTATCTCCCTCTTTGATCCTTCGTCTCTTATCTCTCTATCTCTTGTTTCCCTTTATCTCTCTCTTTCATATTTCTTTTCTATTTTCCCGTTTCTACTCTGTTTCTCTCTCTTCATCTCCTTCTACCACCGTATCACATCGTTTGTTCAGTGTGTGTTTTTTCATTTTTTGATAAAGCCGTATTCACCATTTAAAAGGGGGGAAAAAATTTCATTTTGGCAATAATCGTGGTAATTAGCGTATTTATTAACTAAGCAAAATTATCAGATTTATTTGCTTTGCATGCATTTGGCTTATTTGTTACATGTACTGAACATAAGCATGGTTTTACAATTAGCCATTAGATTAGTTGTCATCGGTCATAATTTAGTTGTACGTTTTTATACCCTAGTGTAGATGTTGTATATTGTAACATATTTGATCAGGGGTTTTATGATTGAGTTCTGTGGTCTGCGTTCTGTTATCTTGTCTGCCGCAAATCGACTCAAAGGAGTAGTAAATTCTGCCCTGATTTGATGGCTGATTTGTGAGTTACAGATTTGAGTTTTGGCACTCAGGTATCCTGCCTGCCTGGTGAATATTGCCATCGAGTTCTTTGTTATTTCTCTTGGTATTCTTAGATGCAATGTTTTATATAACCTTTTTGGCTAGATGTAGTAGGTGGGGGATTTGGACTCCTTGCTTTGTCTACCTCCCCCGGATACTAAGGCTTGGTTTAGATGGAGGGAGAAGTAAGGAAGAAAAATAGGGAGAGAGAAAACTAAGAGGAAAAATGTCTTAAAATAGTAATTTTTGTTTTTTTACTATTTTTAGGAGTTTTCTCTCATAGTTTTTCTTATTCCCTATTTTTCTTTGCGTCCAAATGAAGGGTAGGTGTAGTGTGTTGGAGGTGGGGAGAGATACATTTGTTGTAAATAAAACTAGTTTATCACTTGTGTGTTGCACGGGATGATTATTTTTTCAAAAAATCATCTAAATATTAAATAACAAAACCAGTACATATTAATATTTACATGAGCAGAACAATAAAAAAAATTGCTTGATGAATAAATAATATGTAATAACTCACAATGGTAAACACATGATCAAGTAGTCAAAATAAGATTAATTAGGTTTATATATCTTGAAACAACATTTTCCTCAATTGTTTCAAACTTGTTGCAATAAAATCTAGCTTTATCGGAAACAACTTTAATACGCTTTCAAGAGTTGTAAAATCATCTATGCACAAGTCTTAAATCTCACAATAATAGTCAAAGTTACACACAGATATATATATAGTGTCTTGTAATGTTTATGTATATGTTAGTACACATGCAGGAAAAGAATCATTTAAAAGCAAGGTTGGTAATATAAGCTAACTCATAAGCTACAGGCTGCAAATTTTGCAAGGTGAGTTGGTAACTTGCATTCTGCGCGAGTTGTAATTCTACCTACTTGCATAACTCGCGATGAGTTGGCCTGTCAACTTGTCAATAAAAATATATTTTTTATAATTTTAAAAAGTATAAATTCACTTCTTTTTATTATTTTTTGCGGTAAAAAAAATTATATATTCTCTTTAACAAATAATTATCCAAATGATAATAAAGTCATTCTAATCAAGCAATACTTATATCAACATTAAAATATAAATTAATTTAATTTTGTGATTCTTTCATTCTCTCGACTTTGCACTTTATAGAAGTTTTTTTTTTCACATGCACAATTTCTTTCTTTCTTTCTTTCTCTTTTAAGATTTTAGCATTTCTCAACATTGAGAGAACACAAATGACTAAGTCTAATTAATTATTGAAAATGGTTGGTAATTTTTAAATAAAATCTTTATTTGGAGAAAATAAAAATATAATATTATAATTTGAGATATTTAAGTTATATGAGTTGTGTGTTTTTATTATTATTTTTTGTCATAATTTAAACTTGAATTAAATAAATGTACAAGTGTTAAGTATTTAGATTGTAATTTTATACATGTTTGCTTTGAATGTTTTAGTTTAAATTTAATTTCATTCATTTATTTTCTACATATTTTATTTAAATATAAGAGGGTTAATTTGCTAACCTGACAAATTAGCCTACTGCGAGTTCAAGTTATGTGGTGTGAGCCAAAATCGTCTTGTATCTAAATGAATTTGTTTTTTCTAACTCAACTCTACCATTTTTTTTTGCAAGTTGCGAGCTCAACTTATATTATTGGTTCTGTTTAAAAGTAGACAGTAGAAAATTATTATTGGATAATCAAGTAGCTCATCCAACCACTTGTGAACTTGAACACCAATAATGTTTTCATTGTAGGATGATGATGGGCATTCCCAATGCTTGCGAGTTGTTGGAGCAAATTCATACCATCGAACCTAAACCTTAAATATTAAAACCAAAACTTCTGTAAAAGTTAGTCACTTACAGCCTCGAAAGTATTAAAGTATTTTGTTGTCAAATATTTTTAAATAATTATTATGACTTAAGAAACATACAGAATTTCGTACATATGAACAAAACTATTTTAAAAAAATGCATATTAAAATTATATACAAAAGAATTATACATTAAATAAATGAGAGCAATGTTGTTTCTAACTAAAGAAACATTCACCCATTATTTAAAAAAGGAGCAACTGAACAATTGTCAATATTTTTTTTTTAAAAAGCATTGACATATTAGGTTAATATCTAAATAAAGTAATTGCATTAAATAATGAGAGCATATATTGGAATTGACTTAGTGAAATATTATAATCAAATTTTATCAAATTAAAATTAAATCCCACAGAGCTATAAAAGGACGTCACCTCTAGTATAGTTGGGTGTATAAGAGCGGAGGAAATCTTTTGGGCACTTGAAATAAGCACATCACAAAGCCAGGCCAAATAAGCATTGACATATTTGGTTTTATTGAGAAGAAAACTAAACCCAAGCCGCAACAAAAAAGCATGTATGGATATGATTTTTTTTTTTTTTTATAGAACTTACCATTATATTCTTTTATCTTATACCACTATAAGATAACAATAATCACACCTACATCTTGATTAGGGGTGACATAACTCACAATTTCCTCAACAAACGAACCTCACAAGGTGAAACTCAGACGATTCTCACTAGAAAAAATTAACATAAAACAAATAATAGAAATACATACTCATGAGCAATTTACAAAGATATGGTAAAGTGTATGTATAAGTTAATACACATAGTTGGGATCCTTAAGCTCCATATCAACCCTTTTTTATTACTTTTCATCCTTATCCAACACCTGAATTTTACCCAATTCAAATATTTTTCCAATGACATATGTAAACAAAACATTGTATGCTCAAATGCAACACCTACAATGTCTAAGCTATTGAAAACAGAATAGCTTAAAATACCAGAGAGGCGAGATCACCTATTAAATATTTAATAAGATCAAATTAAAAAAAAAACAAAAATTTCACATCTCACTCACATTCATAACCAAGTAAATTTATATTCAAACGTTCCCAATTAATCCCCTGCCATAAAATATATATGATATCAATTAATTGTTGGTATTTATATTAAACTTTAGTATAAAATGGATCAAAGCACGATTGCAATACAGAATTTTATTCTATAAAACCTACCAAATCAATAAAAGGAAATTTTAAATGGACAACTTAATATATACTTTAATAAATTGTTTTCAATAAATTTCCTAATTTAATACTATATCAACAATTAGATACATGCTCCCTCCGTTAAAAAATGTAAGACATTTTTAATTAAATTTTACCTTTCAATAAAATAATTATCTACTTTCAAACTAACTATATCTTTTCATATTTACTTCTATCAAACACCTTACAATAAATATGAAGTCATTTATCAATAGGGATACTTTAAAAAAAAAGATAATGATTATATTTTGAAAGACTAAAAGTACCTTACATTTTTTAACATTCAACTCGTCAAAAAATATCTTATATTTTTAAACGAAAAGAGTATGTAAAAAGGCACACACATGCACATATATATAAAACATACCATAACTTTGGCCAAAACAAATGCGTGATACAAATACTTACTTATTATAAGAAAATAAGATTTGACATCAATAACTTGATATCTTTATCTTATTTTCTTGATATAAGGGCAACATATTTAATATCCTATATTAATAATCTGAAATTTGAAATTAAAAATATTCAGGATTTTCTTATTATCACCTATAACTAATGAGAATGTTCAAAATCTTTAAATGATAATCAATTAGTAATGTCCAATACTAAATGTAAGATCATAATTTTAATAACAAATAAATACAAAAATAGCAGTAAAGGAATGGTTGCAGTCAACTAATCATATTAATTTTAATTGGCATTATATTACCTATAGTTTTACATTTAATAAGAATTAGATATTTTTAAAATCTTCAACAA